TACCCAGGCTGGGTTCAGACTTGCATTCCTCCTGCCTCAGCTCCCTAAGTGCTGGGATTACAAACAGACATCACTATACCCAGTTTTATGCCCTAATTTTTATGAGTGAGGTCGTAAAGGAGAGTAAGCATGGTAAATCACGTAACATTTTTTTCAAGGGATACTACTCATTTCTCTCCTTTATATTTTTGACAGTTTTTCAACTTTTTAATATTGAAATACTGTTTTTTTTCTTTTTCTTTCTTTCTTCTTTTTTTTTAACCAGGGATCAAACTCAGGTCCTTCAGCTTGTGAGGCAGGCGGCAGCACCACTGAGCCTAAATCCCTGGCCCCAATACTGTTATTTCTAAGCACAATGACCTGGGGGTTTAGCTTAGTGGCATCTTGCCTGCCTTGCAAGTGCAAGGTCCTGAATTTGATCCCCGGTACCCTTCCCAAAAAATGTTCTAAGCACGTTGAAAAGTCGAAGAATAACCCATTGAAAAAAATTCTGATGTCGAAGTTCAAATCTCAGTTTTTCCTGTCCAAAATATTTTATCCGGGGGATTTAGCTCAGTGGTTTTGACAAGCGCAAGGACCAGAGTTCGATCCCCGGTACAAAAAAAAAAAAAAAAAAAAAAAATCAACAATTCTCAGTTTGGTAGATAAATCATTCAACAATCATTTCCTTTTCCCTCCTCTCTACCCTGTGGTAACCTCTATTCTACCTTCTGACCCCACGAATTTACCTGTTTCATGTACCTCATATAAACTTTTTCAGTCTGCATTGTCTTTTTCAGTAGGGGAGAGGAGAATAAATGGAAATGGATGTACAGTATAGAGCTATTCCCATTTGTTTTCCTTTTTCAGGAGGACATTGAGAACTGAAGCACGATTATTTTTTTTTTCCTAGTGCTGAGAATGGAACGTAGAACATGGCACATGCTAGGCAAATGCCTGTTACTGGGCTACACCCCAGCCCATTAAGAATTTTTTTTGCTGCCCAATTATGCAGGTGAATTTCCAAATGGAATAAAAATTTTGATAAATAGAAATAATCTAACATAATTACACATGAAAAAAATTTTGTAGCCCCTCTGTTTCCTCATCGAGTCCAGGTCCTTCCCACTGAGCTACATCCTCTTTTTTGCGGGGGCAGTTTTGAAGATCAAACCCAAGACCTTCATACTGAGCTACATCTGTAGCCACCTTTGTTTGTTTGTTTGTTTGTTTGTGACAGGGTCTCACTATATAGCCCAGGCTGGCCTACATTGTGGCAATCCTCCTGTCTCAGGCTCCCAAGTGTTGGGATTACAGGTGTAAGCCAGCATGCCCAGCCTCAGTCCTTCTTTATATTTTGAAGCAGTTTCTAATTTCCCCAGGCTAGGCTCAAATTTGAGATAGTTCTGCTTTGGCCTCCCAGAGAGCTGAGATTAGAGGCTTATGCCACCATGCCTGGTTTATAGTTTTTAAAAATTATAGAATATTGGAAGTGTATATTGAAAATATTTTATTATTTAAAAAACTTTTCAAAGATCAGAAATATTTATTCACATATATTTACTAATAGACATATAACTGAAAACTATCAAGAGAAGGACTTTAAAAAATATTTGATTTTTCAGTCAGGTTGTTGTAACCCTTCAGAGGTGGTAACTTATCTGAGTGATACAAACTTTTACATATTTTAAAGGCAACACATGACTGGAAACCTCAGGGTAAGTAATGATTCAAGAAAACTTGGTTTGCTCAGTAATTTAAATAAAAATGTATACCTAGACTTTTAAAATTCATTCTCTGCGCAGTGGTTTTCTTGGAAGGAATATTTCTCTTTACCCGCAGAATATCAGGAAAACCAGTCATGGCTACGTACTATCTAGGTTGAATAGACCATTTTATTTCTTGCCTTTGTAAGTTCTTTTACAAATAATTTACATAAGAATAAAGGAATAGTGAAAATTTTTAGATAGAAGAATTTAGATATGGCATACTTCATAGTTAGAAAAATGAAAATTCATTTTAGAAGCTAAGAGAGTCTAGTAGTTTTGTATTAAGACAGATACTAAAAACATATAATACAAAAATAAAGCCAATGCCACTCTTATTAGAACTTTTGCTTTAGAATTCTTTTCATTCAAAGTATGTATGCTAATGTCTAATATACTTTTATTTTAGAATTTTTTTTTATTGCTTGTACTCATGGCTTGTGGTATGATTTCATGTTATAAAAAATGTTAAGCAAAATACTCCAAAGTACTATAGACGAATTTCAGGCACTTTTTTTTTCCATCGAGTTTATTGGTACATTTTAGGTATACAGTACAGTTACATTCATTATTGGGATCTTGTACCTTTACATGACAGGTTTTGGTTCTCATTTCTCCCCACACCTCTGCTCTCCCTTCACCCCTCTCCACCCTTCCCTATTTACAAAGACTTTGTTTCCATTTTTTTCTTTTTCTCATATTTTTTCTTTTCCCTTATTTCCTTTCCTCTACCCTTCTCAGTTCCCTTACACCTTTACCCCTTTTCTTTTTCTGGCACGTTTCAGTACTCCTGCAAGGAAGTTATTGCTGTTTTCACTTTACAGATAAAACTAAGACTCCAAAAGGTTGATTAAGTTTCTGTAGGTTTGGCAGCCAGAAGTGGTAGACCCAGAATTCCCAGATTTTCTGCCTCTATTTTCAGTGTTCCCACCATGACACTTACTGGACATTTTCGCTGGTAGATAATTTTTACTCCTATAAAATATTAATACATATTTCCTGGGATTACTTTAGCAATTAATGATGATAGAATGTGTTATGAAAATTCTAGAAGATATTTACTGTATAGACTGGCTTTGAAAGTCCAGCAATTATGCATTAGTCTTTTCCCCCAAACTATATATCTTTTACATGTAAATAGTGATACAAGTATATTTCTCCTGGGTGTGGTGGCAGCACATGGGTATAATCCCAGTGACTCCACATAAGGATCACAAGTTGAAAGCCAATCTGGATAATTTAGCAACACCCAGTCTCAAAAATTAAAAAAAAAAGTAAATGAGAAGGAGAGGAGGGGGTGAAGGGAGAGCAGGGACAAGGGGAAAGAATGAATAATATATTTTGCTGAAATGGTCACTACCGACTTTTAGTGTTTTTCATACCTATTATTGAAATTATGTGGCCAATCTAATTTAGTTATGAGATGCTAATCCCAGAGTTTGCTTGTGTTAGATTTTTTTAAAAATAGCAAAACAAAAATACTGAAATATTGTTAGAGAGCTCTCTTGTACCATCTGGATTATTTCTGTATTCCCAGAGGTCTGTTACCTGTGGTTTGGGAAAATGTTGGGATAATCCACTGATGACTTTTTATTTTTGAATAAAGTGCCAGAAATCTAGGTTGGAGTAGTTTAAACAAAAAATAAACAATTATTTTCTCATAATGGAAACCTTTTAGTGGATAATTTGCTTCAAACATGATTAGCATCAGGTGTTCAAATGGTGTCATCAGAACTTGAATTGTCTGCCTACCCTACCTCTTCACTTTTTCAACCCCAGAATCTTACAGTGTTGCTGTTCTCTTTGTTGGCTCTTTTCTCATAGGGTGATTCCATCACTACATCACTAACAGGCTTATATGCTACCAGCTTGTTTTCTTAATAGCTTTGTTGAGCTACAATTCACCCTTTTTATTTATTCTTTATTTTGTAGTAATAGGGATTGAATCCAGGGGCTCTCACATGCTCAGCAAGTACTGTAACACTGAGCTACCTCACAACCCCTTATTTATTTATTTACTTACTTACTTACTAATATTTTAAGACAGAGTCTTGCTAAGTTCTCTAGGCTTGGCTGGAACTATAGTGCTCTTCATGCAACCTCCCAAGTAGCTGAGATCATAGGCATGTACCACATGGCACAAAGCTCAATTTACCTATTTGAAGTATACAGTTCAGTTGCTTTAGTATATTCAGAATTGTAGAACCATCACCATGATCAATTTTTGAACATTTTCATCACCCTAGAAAGAAGTTATGTGCCCAGTAGCAAACATTCCCCATTTCCCCCAACCCAGCTCTTTGCATCCATAACCTTACTTTCTGGATATGCCATTTCTGAACATCTCATATAAATAAAATCATGTAGTATGTGATCTGTTTGACTGGCTTCTTCATTTTGTATATTATTCTCAAGTTCCATGCGTATAACATGCACCGGTGTTTAATTTCCCTTTATTGCTAAATATAACATGGATATATTACATTTTGTTACCCATCGGTTAATAGGTATTTGAATATTTTTCACTCTTTGGAGGTTATTGATACTGTTGTAAACATTTATGTAAAAATTTTACGTATGTTTCTAATTGCCTAGGAGTAAAATTGCTGAGTCGTATAACTCTAATGTTTAACTTTGTGAGGAGCTAAAATGTTCTCCACAGTGACTCTCACCATTTTACATTCCTACTAGCAGTGTACCAAGGTTCCAGTTTCATTTTGTGCTAGTTATTTGTCTTTTGATTATAGCCATCCTTGTGGCTACTAAGTGATATCTTTTAATTAAAAAAGTATTGTGAGTTAAGTTAATTCATAATTTTAAGGAGCTTTTTGTATAAACTTTTAAAAGATGGTTAAATTTTATATGTATAAAAGTTGAAGCAAGCTGTGGGTGGTGGCACATACCTATAATCCAGCATTTGGGAGGCTGAGGCAGGAGGAACCCATGAGTTCAAGGTTAGCCTGCACTACATAGCAAGACCCTGTCTCAAAAAAGTTGAAGCCATAAAGTAAAAAGTCAATTATAATTATTTTTACAGTGTCTCGAAAAATTAATGGGTTAATGGGCCAGGGATTTAGCTCATTGGTTTCACCACCTGCTTTGCAAGCTCAGGGACCCGAATTTGATCCCCAGTACCAAAAAAAAATGAGTTGTGTTCAAGCCATGTATCATTTGAAATCATATGTCCCCATAAGAAGTGTGTTAAACATGGCCATATTATCTCTACCTGAATCAATAGCCTAAATGGAAAGTTCTTCATTCATTTTCACAATAACTCTTAGCTGCAGAACCAACAGACCTTCTGGAGTTGCTATTATCAGAGCTTTAGGATCCCTACTGCATATCTTTGCTGGATATTCCATTTTTTTCTGCCAGCCAGTTTGATCCCCACACCATTCCTTTCCTTGCCATCAAATCTCTGAAGTGGTAAGTTGAAGGGGTTTCATGGTGATAGTTTTTGAGGGCTCCATTCCTCCCAAAGAGGTCCATGAAGATTTATATAAAACTAGAACTAAGTAAAATTATGATCCTTGAGGCATGTGTTGACCAATAGAAATGTTCTGTAGCAACACTGTCCAATATAGTAGCCACGAGTGACTTGTGGCTTTTGAGCACTTGAAACATGGGTAGAGTGACTAAAGAGCTAATTTTTTTTAATCTTAATTATTTAAAATTTAAGTAGCCACATGTGGCTGTTAATGCCTCATTGGGTAATACAGCTTTAAACTGAAGTCTTGGTTCAGATGTTTATGAACATACCAGTTGAGGTTCCTTGATTGCTGCTATGGCCCTCAAGACATCTCTGTAGCCATAGGCAGTAGACAGGTCTTGTTTATAGACTACTTACACATTTAGTACTCATTTTAGGGTGTTTATACCAATAGATATTTTATATAATCATCTAATATAAAAGTGTTATGTTAATCTCATAGGCTGTACAGTTATGACTTAAAAATATTTTTTGTGTGTATGTTTGTGGTACTAGGGATTGAACCCAGAGTCTTCACACTGGGCCATATCCCCAGACCTTTATTTTTTGAAACAGGGTCTTAAGAGTCTCTTAATTTGCCCAGGCTGAGCTCAAACTTGAAATCCTACCTCAGCCTTTCAGAGTACTAGGATTAAAAACGTGTGCCATCACCCCCGGTTTATCTTGTATTCTTGATAGCCATAGATACTTAATGTTGAGCAGGAATTGTCATATTTATCTACTTGATATATACATTACCTTAGTTCTAATTTAGGGAAAAAGCACTATTAAAGTAATTGAGTTGAAGAGATGTGTAAATAGATCTCAGAAATTTGCTAAAGGAAAAAATTTACTAGAGAATCTTGTAATACAAATTCAAACATTTGTAACTAGTAACTTTTTGTGGAGTTAAATTAATATTTTCCCCTGTGGATTAATCAATACAAATAATATGGCATAAGGAAAAATTTGCTCTTGCCAATCTGAGGATAAAGATAAATGTAAAGACTGAATTAGCTCTGTGTAGACTACTTACCTCAGATTTGGATGCCTAATTTTGACCTTTCTGTTGTGCACCTGAAATAGTGTAAAAGTAGTATTTATTTTGTATGTAGACACTAGGATATGTATGAGAATTCAGAATGTAATTCAGAATCAAATTCTTATTCTACAAGCTTTTTTTGGGGGGGTACCAGGGACTTAACTTGGGTCCTTATACTTGCAAGGCAGGCGGCAGAACTACTGAGCTAAATCCCTGGTCCTGAAATTCTTATTCTAAATAAAGCAATTCAAATGTTTCCTAGTAACATTTAATATAACAGCTTTTTTGTGTGTGTGATACTTGGAATTGAACTCAGGATCTTCAAGATGAGCTATGTCTCTGACACTGTATTATTTTTAAAAATTTTGAAATAGTATCTCACTAAGTTGCCCACTCACAATTCAAAGTTGAGATCCTTCTGCCTCAGCCTCCTGAGTCCCTGAGTTATAGTCATGTAGCAACTGCCATGCCTGGCTTAAAATTTGTCGTTTAATAATTCATTAGATTTGTTCAAGTAGTAAATGTTAAAACATTCAGCATTCTGTTATATAAAGTGAATTACACGTGTATATTAAACATACTAAACTCAGATTGTAAGCTTTTTTGTAGGAGAAAAAGATTAGGTGTGTGTACACTTAACAAAATCCACTCCAAGAGTAGGTATTATCCTTAGAGGGTGGAAATCTAAGACCTAACTTGCTACTTTGTCCAGTGTCACATGAATATGCTGGAGATTGAAATTAACCCCATAGATTTCTAAATCAAGTTTCATGTTTCTTTTTGTTTGTTTGTTTTTGGTACCTGGGATCAAACCCACAACCTTGCACTTGCAACACAGTCATGGCACCACTGAGCTGAATCCCTGGCCCTATGTTTCAGTATTTGATGTTACTTAAAATTATTCAAAACTGATTGATGTCATATATTTATTCTTAGGTGATTCTGCAGCTTGATGGATGACGACACCCCTTTTCAACAAAAACGTAGGTATTAACTGCTGCAATTGGTAATAGTATGCATAGCTTTTGTACTGATAACCTTTCTTCAAGAGAAAAGGTGAAAGAGGAGGACACATTTTCTTAAAAGCAAAAATGTGTAGAGCTGGCATGGTGGTACACACCTGTGTAATCCTAGCACTCTGGAAAGCTGAGGCAAGGGGATCCCAAATTTGAGCCCACCCTGAGCAACATAGTGCTTTAGCAAGACCATGTCTCCAAAAAACCAAACTGCTGGGGATGGGGATGTAGCTCAGTGTAGTAAATGTCCTGGGTTTGCTCCCCAGTACCCCCAAAAAAGAAAAATACTTAGATTTATTAAAGTAATATATACTGTACTCATGGTTAAAAATGAACAAAAAACAATAAAAATGTAAGCAAAGTAGATATTAAATGTTTCCTCCTCATCCACAGAGATAATTATTATTATAGTCTTGACAAACATAATCACAAACTTTCTCTAGACAAAAACTTTATTTCTAAAAATGAGGGGGCCGGGGATTTAGCTCAGTGGTGCCACTGCCTGCCTTGTAAGCATAGGATCCTGAGTTTGATTACTGGTACCAAAAAAAAATTAAATATTTTTCCTCAATGGTGTATCTTAACTATATTGATAAAGGGAGTATCCAGTTTAAAAGAATAAAGAAGACCTATGTGTTCACATGGTTTCACTATGATATCATTGTCAGTATACATTAACTTCTCATTTCTTTAAATTTGGTATTGCCTGACTTTGCCAAGTTTCTTAAGTGCCTACTATATGTCCAATAGACTACTGTATGAAAGAGGAAGTACAAAATAAAATGTTCTTCACTCTCAAGAAGCTTACTTTGAAGTTGAAAGTATATAATTAAGACATTAAAAATAGTGAACAGTTTGAGATCATATATAATAAACCTTAAATTACATGATACAAACTATCAGTATAGTAAGATGTGAAAGAAAAACAGGTTTAATTGTTTATTGAGGAAGTTATAATTGTTCTGAGTTGGGAAAGGACAGCACTGATATTTTGTATGGTATCTGCTTGAAATTACCTACTGTATATAGCATTTTTTTCAATCTCTGTAACCACTTCTACTTGCTATTTTAAGCTTTATCAGATGTGAAGAAATAGGCCAAGTAATTTCGCCAGGGTCACATAATTAGGAAAAACTGCAATGAAAATTTGAACCTATGTGGAAGATATATTCCAAGAATACCATCGAATGCTAAAACCACAGATTATACCAAACGTATGATTTAATTCCTTTTCCATCTTAAAATACTTATATTATGCACTATAGCTGTAACTTTTGCAGTTTAAGGCACAACAGCGTGAATTTCTTTTTTCTTCCAGTTTCACAGACGATGTATTTTTACCATAGATCTTATCAACCTTGACATATGAGGTTTTTTTCTTTCATTATTAAGTCAGGAACTTTTATTTTTTCACTTAATGGATACAATTTTCAGGCTTTGGCATATCTGGATTGCCAGCAATATTACTCTTGTGCTTTGGGACCGTTATTAAGTAAAATAAAGGTTACTTCAATACAAATACTCTTGGACTAATAACCAAGATGACTACTAAGTTACCAACAGGCAGGTTGTATATACAGTGTGGATACACTGGATAAAGGGATGGCTCATGTTTCAGGAGGGACAGAGCAGCAAAATGTAAGATTTCATTATGGTATTCACAGTGACATGCACTTTAAAACCTACAAATTATTCATTTGTGTAACTTTCCGTTAGTATTTTCTGAACACAGTTGATTATAGGTAACTGAAACTATGACCTATAAAATTGTAGGTAAGGAGGAACTATCTTCATTTTTAAGTATGATTTTTCAAGGTGAATTTTAAGTATGGAAAATACACAAATATTAAACTGAATTATGCTTTTAATTATTTGAGGACAATCTGTATAATATTTTTGAGGTATTTAGAAAAGGGAGTCAGTTAAAATATTGACTACATTTTGGAGGATGGGAATATTTTTTGCTTTGTGATTTTTTTGGAGGGGGTTCTTTATACTAAGAAATGATTTTGGGCTGGGGCGTAGGTCAGGGGCAGAGTACTTGCCTAACATCAGCAAGGCCTTGGGTAGGAATAAAACAAGAAATGATTTGTGGCATACCTATGTAAAGGGGGAAAATTAAAAGAAAGATACTGATTCGTGAAGATGTTTCTTTCTTTCTTTCTTTCTTTTTTTTTTTTTTTTTTTTTTAAAAGGACCTTGAGCTTGAGAGGCAAGTGGCAGAACCACTGAGCTAAATCCTTGGCCCCAAGATGTTTCTTTTGTATGCCATCCTCATGCCATTGTTTTCAAGTAGTGCCTTTTAAGGTCATGCTAACTATAGTCTTCATTTTGTATTGAAAGTAGAATTGGCATTATTTTAATATAATAGAATTACCTTTCCAAATGGCTGTATTTTAAAATAAAGATTTTCTTTTCTAAGCCAGAATTCTGAAGTTATTAGTTGTCCCCCATCCACCTCTCTATCACTTAACATACAGTCTTCATTGTTACTTTACCTTAGGTCTACTTCAGTACTTCTTTTTACTAGAACACAATTTTTTAAGTCAAACAAATCTGAAAAGGGTTTAAGTTGCCTAGCCACAATTACTTTAAGGGAGTGGGGTAGACGGGTGTCTGAACACATGTGTACATCTGTATGCTGCCTCCTCTCCCTGCCTCAAGTCATCTTTCCATTGTTTAGCTGTTTTTCTAATAACTCTTTCCAAATTTCTGTTTTCAAACATGGTTTGAAATACATGTACATACCACTCTTAAATTAATCAGTTTTTGTAATTAAATTCTATAGCCAAATCTTACCATATTCTTATATAGCCTCTTAATTTTTACATGGTAAAATGTGTCAGGTAATTAAATTTAATTTTTAATATTTTTGGGTGAAGAAGTATCTCCTTGCAGTGATAATCTCATAATAGTTTCTGGCTGATTTGCTCCATAGTCCCACTGAGCAATTACTGTCCTGAAACTTTCCTTTGTTTTTGTATTGTGTTGAATGTCATGTTTTCTGCATTCTGTATTTCCTCCTCCTTAAATCCCATAATCCAGTGGATTCTGCCAGGGAAAGAAAGTAAATGAAAGGTAAATTTTGGCAAACTGAAATTCTCATCTTACTTGATAGAAAATCATTAGATAATGACAAAAACTGATGATTTAAGAAAAAGCAGTGTGTGCATTTGTTGATCATTACTCATTTTTTTTTTTTTTTTTTTTCGGTACCGGGAATTGAAAAGGCAGGCCACCGAACCACTGAGCTAAATCCCCAGCCCTGTTCATCATTACTCTTGATGAAAAAAATATGTGTCTCATGCTAAGTATAGTAGATTGGCTAAGTATGGAAAGTTATTTTTAGTAAGATTTTTATATAAGTATTATTTTAACTTTCTTATACTTCTACCCCAACTTTAGAATATTATTTTTAAATAAATTTTATTTTATTTTATCTCATTCTGGCCTCCCTATGTACAAAAGCTTTGTTTACATTTTTCCTTCTAGTTCACTTTTTTCTTGTCCCTTCCTTCCTTTATCCCTCCCTCCTCTGTTGTGTCCCTTCCCATTTGAACAGTTTCTTCCCATTTCCCAAAATCATTTGTACATCTCTCAGTCCTTATTTCCACATCCAGTTTCTCACGCCAGAGAAACAGTGCAGTATTTAAACATGTGTATCCAGTTTATTTCACTTAAGAGTATGATCTCAAGGTCCATTCAGTTAAATGTCTGAAGTTCATCCTTCTTTATGGCAGAGTAGTATTTCATTGTATTAAAAAACCACATCTTTATCCACTCGTCAGTTGATGGGCATTTTGGCTGTTTCCAAGATTTAGCTATTATAAACTGTGCTGCTTTAAACATGGGTGTGCATATATCACTGTGGTATGATGCTTTTCATTCTTTTGGGAAGATACCAAGAAGAGGTATATCTGGGTCAAATAGAACCTCTAGTTTTAGTGGTCGCACCAGTCTACACTTTCACTGGCAGTGGAGAGGGATGTTCTATTTCCAGCCTGAAATTTTATATCATATACTGCAGTGTAATTTTCTATTCTTCATCATTTTGCTGGGTGCTGGTGCCCATTTCATTCTAGAGATTTATGTCCTTTAGGACTGGGAATTTTGCTTTGATTAACTTGCCCTCATTTTTCTCTGTCCTGTTTCTGAATTTTCAGTATGAGGGATTAAATCTATGGCCTTTACACTGAGTTATACCCCTGGACTTTTTTTTTTTTTTTTTTTTTTTCCCAGGGAAAACTCCACACCCCGCACTTGTGAGGCAGGGGGCAGAACCACTGAACTAAATCCCTGGCCCTCCCTGGACCTTTTTTCTCTTTAACTGGTCTCACTAAATTTCCCAGGCTGGGCTGAAACTGGAAATCCTCCTGTTTTAGCCTCCCAGAGTGCTGGGATTACAGGTGTATGCTGTCACACCCTACTTACTTATTCTGAGACAGATTTCACTAAATTGCACAGGCTTGAACTTGCAGTCTTCTGCCTTAGCCTCCCAAGTAGCTGGGATTATAGGCATGTGCCAATGTGACCAGTTTGTGTTAGATATCTGTTGTACATTTTCTAACAATCTTGGCTTTTCTATTTGTTTTTTGTTGTTGTTATTGTTTTAATCTTTTAGTTCCACAGTTGCTTAACTTTGGCATTTGGGGTTTAGGTTTTTGGATTTTTTTTTAACCTGAAATTTGGCTGTCTTATTTTGACTCTTTTCCTGAATGTTATTTATAATTAATTTTGTCTTATCTCTCTAAAAGTGCTAATTGTAATCTCTTTAATATTTTTCTGTCCTGTGACTGTGCCTGGTTAGAACTTAACAGGCTGGGTGTATCCACAATATGTTCTTTGCTTATTTTCTTCAGGTGAAAAATATATATTCTGCTCTGGAATGGAATAAGCTTCATTTCATTTAATATCCCTGTTTTAAGTCTAGTACTTCATCCTTGCTTTGCTTTGTGCCTCATGGCCCTGAATCTAGTTTAGTTTTTCTTTTGCCTCTTATTCTTAATTTATCTCCCTTTTGTTAATACAGGTGAGGTTTTTTTTTTTCAGATAATGGTTAGGTATAATCCTTTGTAAATAGAATCATATCCTGGTAATATAACTGAAACTCACTTTAAATGAATTTGACCTTAAAATTTATTGGCCATGGTAATTTACTTCCCTCCATTATCTATATAGTAACCTAGTTTTACTAGTTTATGTCTTATAGATTAAATTCCCCATTTTTTATTTTTGCTACCATGTACCACCTACAAATATCTATACTGCAAAAATATGTTTTTCTTTTTGAAATAAAGTTTCTCTTCTTTTGAAAATTTAGATAATTCAAAAATGGCGGAACTCTTCATGGAATGTGAAGAAGAAGAGCTGGAACCATGGCAGAAAAAAGTAGAAGAAACGCAGGTTGAAGATGATGATGATGAGCTAATCTTTGTTGGAGAAATATCAAGTTCAAAACCAGCCATTTCAAGTAAGCATTTACTTCAGTGAAGTTTCATAAGATGGTCATTCTTTTCTTTTTTATGGTATATAAACAGATTTATCATAATTCATTACCTTCTATGTGAAAAATGATGTTTGTGATGTTCCCTGGCAAGACTGCATTCAAATCAGCCAGAGGTATCTTTTGTACAGAGTGAAGGACAAATTACAAGCCCCGTGTATGTTTTTAAAATTTAAGTACATTGCAGATGGTTGTTCTTTGTTTTGAATGGAAAAACCTGTGGGTTATAATACATGTCCTTGATGTGTTTGTTGTGAAAGGAGCTGGTGGGGAGGAGGGCTAGACATTAGTAAAACCTTGTAATAAGCATGGTGAGCATGTAGTTAGTTAGGGACAGGAATAAGGAGGTGAGAGGTTAAAATACCATATGTGATAAAAGTTATTAAACAGTGAGATTATCTAATAGTAGTGTAGGCCTTCTGAGATCCTACTTTTTAAGGGAGCCATGTAGCCTATCTTTTTAATTTGTTTTCTGTTTCTCTTTGCACCCCTGAAATAAAGGAAATTTTGTACTTTGTTTAAAATAATCATAATAGCCAGGCATGGTGGTGTACGCCTGTAATCCCAGCACAGGGGAGGCTAAGGCAGGAGGATCACTGTGAGTTCGAGACCAGCCTGGGTTACATAGTGAGTTCCAGGTCAGTCTCAACTACATAGTGAGACCCTGTCTCAACCCCCCCCCCAAAAAAAATAAATAAAATAAAATAATCATATGCCGGGCATGGTGGCGCATGCCTGTAATCCCAGCACTCGAGAGGCTGAGGCAGGAGGATCACTGTGAGTTCGAGACCAGCCTGGGCTACATAGTGAGTTCCAGGACAGTCTCAACTACATACTGAGACCCGGCCTCAAAAAACAAAAACAAAACAAAAAATAAAATAATTATAACATAGTAAATAGGTTTGTGTTAGTGTCTGGTAAGGGTTGTCCTATCCAAGCAACTGTCTCATCAAAGTGTCAAATCTATTTGTGGCTATTAAAATGCCTAGGTACTGCATGCTTATGCAGTCTCTCATCTGTGTACAACAAGGGCTATAGCTTTTGGCTATACCCACCTTACAGCAAACACTGTGGTTGCTTGCTTACTCAGTTTGATTGAGACAGTCTCATTATGTACTGTAGTTCAACCTGGCCTTGAACTCACTATGTAGCCCAGGCTGGCTTCAAACTCAAGGCCATCCTCCTGCCTCAGCCTCTTGAGTCCTGGGATTACAGACATGTACCACCATGCCTGGCTGACAGCTACTATTTATATTCATGGAGGAAGGTCCTACCCTTTAGCCACTATACTTGGATGATATGGGCAGTCAGTACACTTTTACATCCTTATGGATTTCTAGTGAAAGATTCAAAAGTATAGGCCAGGGATTTGCTCAGTGGCACTGCGCCTGCCTCATAAGCACAAGGTCCTGAGTTTGATTCCCGGTACAAAAACAAAAAATGTGAAAGTACATGGGATACAATACCGAATTTAAAGAAAGAAGAAGCAAATACTTTCCATTTTATTTACTTTTTTAAACTGGAGAATTTATCAAATAATGTAGCCAGCATGCCAGTTTTCTTACTGGTATTGAACAACAGTATGGTTGGGACAAGTTTTAAATTTTCTGCAAGCCTAATCTTTTGTCTCCATCTCTCTGCCTGCCTGCCTGTCTCTCTGTGTCTGTTTCTGTCTCTCTCGCGCACGCTCTCTCTCATATTAGGATTGAACCCATGACAATGGGCTTTTTCCCCTATCCCTTTTTTATTTTGAGATGGGGTCTAGGTTGTCCTGGCTGGGATCAAACTTTAGATCCTCCTGCCTTGGCTTAAATACGGTGCTGGGATTACAGGTGTACACCTCCTTGCCTGGCTTCTTGCTTCTTGATTCTTAACCTTGGACTAGTACTTCTATTCACATTTATGAGGAGTAGAAAAATTTACCCATTTGAATTCTCAGTATAATCTATGGCAAATTCGTGATGTGCTAAGTAGAGTGCCGCTTAAATCATAAAATGTAGGTTTATTTGGCATGTTTATTATTGATAGTGAAACAGAATATTGTATTTTTTAAGTTACTGTTCTTATTGCTGATAATATTTATGGTCAAATATTACCATATTTCAAAATTGTTACTCAAATCATCTTATAGAAAGCAAACAATTCACATTCATGTTGGATTTATATCAGTTGTAGATGACTGCTAACAGTACTCACATACAATAATATCTATTGGTTTTAAGTGATTTTATCAAAAAGAGGATTGGACCGAGTCAAATTTCTTTTCTAAATTTTTTACTGAGAATTTGATTTTGATATTTAAGGTGTAATCTGTTACTTATGTTAGCATGTTGAATATGAGCTAAATGGCTAAATGTTTTTATAGAATTACCATGAGCCATGTAAAAACTTGTGTTTGGTAAATTACACCCACCAAAAAAATAGGAATGACTCTTTAATATCTTGAATAAATACTTCCTATGAATTTCTGAATGCAAACAGTGTCAAGTTGTTTGAATGAATTGGTTTTTCCAAGAAGTCTATTGTAGTACTTAATCATCAGTATTTCATTTCCATGATCAGAAAACAACTCTACTTCTGTATGACTTTTTTACTTTATAGAATTATTGTGGAATCTGGTTCTTTTGTAGTAGAAGATAAAAGGGAAATTTTTGAGGATTTATGGTGTATGTTCATGCTTTGTACCTTTTCCTAATAAGCAATTTTAGGCAAACTTCTGCTCTCCTAAATTTCAATTTGATTCCTCAGTTGAAGTTACAGAGTTCACATGAGTGCAAGAGGGATCAATCTTGAACTAATCCAGAGTATCCTGTCAGGTACAGATTGACCTCTGGTGTAGTATTTCTGAAACCACTTAAGCTACTCAAATACTAAATTCTAGGTTTGATGTAGTCTGCAGTCTCTGATAATTCAAAACTCCAGAGCAGTTGTGATGAGTAATCCAGGCCTGGGGATTTAGCTGGTGGTTCCACTTGCCTACCTCTCAAGCACAAGGTCCCAAGTTCGATCCCCAGTACCACCCCCCAAATAAAGAAGATCAGCATGAAAAGTAATACAATTGGCCCACCCATAATGCGAATTCAGGCATTTAGGAGTGTATATGTGGTATGAGGATTGGGGAAGGGCTTGATTTCAAGACTATACATAATCCTTACCATTAAGGGAAAGAAATATATTTCTGTTTTTGGTTATTATGGCTATGTTTTTGGATTTTTTATTATCTTTCAAATAATGATTGATAAAATATTTTTATAGATATTTTGAACAGAAGTAACACCAGTTCATCTTCAAAGGGAATAAAGAATGAGCAACTTGGTCCAGGTACAGTATTACCATACTAATTTAAAGAAAAATATTTTGACACAATTGATTTTTATAGTAATATATTCAATGTGTTATATAATTTTAAATACAGGTGTTCCTGATATATTCAAGCCTGAAAGTCAGCATTACAAAGACCCAACATCAAATCCAGTGGCTGGCTTGCCTAGATTTCATTCTGAATCTAAGTCTTCACAAAGTTCTTCTATTGTTCAGAATATATCTAAATCTGTAAGTGTTTCTGCAATTACACAGTTAGGTTAGGGACTTGTTATATATTATAATGCTAAGTTAGAATTATGAACTGTCATAGCTAATTACCATTCTAGTAGAAGCATAATCACTGTCAGAAATGTCTTTATGATATGTTTCAACCAATATCCAAAATGCTAACTGCAAAAACTACTCAGCATGATATTAAATCAGGTAATATGCTTAAATAGGTATAGTATTGAAAACTACAATTTAAACATAAGTAAAATAATTATAACTAGTAATAATAATGACAACTTTCAAGTTTTAGCTGTCACAAATTGTGCTGCCATGAACATGGGTGCACATATATCACTGTGGTATGATTCTTTTAATTCTTTGGGGAAGACACCCATAGGACACACATGTGCAAATACTGAATAGTTTCTCTAGTGTGAGAAACTGAAAGTGTAAATAAGGACCAAAAGGTATAATAGGATAATATGAAATAGGAAGAAAAAGTACAAAGGGGAAATGGGAAGGGTAGGGGAAAAGAAAGAAGGGAATGGAATTAATATGAGAAAAAGAAAAAATGGAAACAAAGTCTCTGTAGGTAGGGGTGGAGGGGTTGAAGGGGATGGGAGGGGAATGGGGAAAAAATAAGAACCAAGGTGGGTTATGCCAAGGTGCAGATTTCCAGTGATGAATGCCATTGTATACCTTAAATGTACCAATAAAATTAGTTTTAAAAAATAATAATAACAACTTTCTTGGTATTCATGTTTTAGTTCTTAAAAATTATTTAATATATCCAGGGATTTAGCTCAGTGGTTCTGCTGCCTGCCTTGAAAGCACAAGGACCCGAGTTCGATCTCTGGTACCAAAAAAAAAAATATATACACACACATATTTAATATATTGTGTTGGGAACATTATAATCCTTTTAGGTATTTTGAAAGATATCATAGATTATTGTTAACTATGGTTGTATTACTTTGCTAGAACACCAGAATTAATCCATGTTGTTTATGTATCAAACTCTGACTGTCACCCCTGTCATGATGTTGCATGCCTGTCATTCGTTTAATCACTCCACCATTGTTACATGTAAAGGGGTTGTTTTTTTATTTTTCATTTTGCAGCAGTTCTCCATTAAGGAATTTTATTTCCTTAGTATAAATTCTTGGAAGTGGAATATAGTTAGATCAAAGGATGTCATTCAAAGCCCTTGATAAACACTACTGAATTTTATTTGCAGAAAAGTTTTACCAAAATATAATCTCTACTTTGCCAGATTGTCATTATTTTTTAATTTTAACTTTTATTTGAGACTAATTTTAGAATTCTAGAAAAATTACAAAAATAATGCAGATTAATAATTACTTTTGTGATGTGTAATTTTTAGTGATTGAGTCTGTAAGCTTATCTTTACATTTTAAGAATACAATTAAGCCAGGAATTTAGCTCAGTGATGCTGGTGCCTGCCTGGCAAGTACAAAGTCCTGAGTTCAATCCCTGGTACCAGAAAAAAAAGTCAACAAAAATTTTTTAAAAATACAGTTAAATTTACTCTTATATAAAATTTACTAAACAAAATAACTAACATTTTGCAGGGCTTTTCAAAGAATTCATCACAAGTTCAATCGGATAATTCTTCAGTCTTACTGTTTGATTCATCCCAGGGTACAGTACCACTGTCCACAGGTATACCAAAAAATCTTTTGGAAGGTTTGGTTTAGCACTTTTTTAAAAAATTATTTTAAAAAGACTTGATGAATGTGCATATGAAATTGAATTTCTATTTAGAAGTTCATATTTTCATGTTATTTTATCATGTATTACAAGACGGATAATGCTAATCATTCCTGAATGCCTTCCTTGGATGATTTCATATAAAATCATATTTAATAGAATTTTTTAATTAATGGGACAGCATGTATCCTTAAATACTCTGTGAGAAAAATATTTGAAAGACCGTTAGTCACATGGTTATAATTGAAATTTTAATAAACTGATATCTTACTATCCAAATGAATGATATAAATATAGTTAGATGTGAATATGTTATAAAATGGTAGAACTTAAGAAATGGTGTTTTGCACATGATAAATGCTCATTATATATATCCACTGAATAAATAGTGAAGTTTCCCAATTAAAGAAGGGTTTGATTCTCTACAGTAATAAAGTTCTTAGCTGAGAGTGGTGATGCACACTTGTACTTCGAGCGCTCAGGAGGCTGAGGCAGGAGGATCGCTGCAAGTTTGAGGCCAGTTTAGACTACATAGTAAGTTCAAGGCTAGCCTGAACTACATGGTGAGACCCTGCCTGAATAAAAAAACAGACTCTTCATTAACTTGAATGAGTGTGCCAAAATAATTTTATCTACTTAAAAATTTTCCTATAGTCAAAAAGTTACTATATTAATATATATTTTACTAAAGAGAATTTTTTAATTTTTAATTACTAACAAATTGGCATATATTTATCAAACGAAAAGAAAAAATTCTATAGTGATATGAGTGTCAAAATATTTTCCCATTTTGATAATACTGTATTTGACTTGATATTTCCATGTCTAGATTACGAAAATAACCAAGAGCCAAAATAAATAGAGATATGAAAGAGTCGTCTTTAGTTGGATTTTACAAAACACATGGTCTTAGTCATAGAAAAATTCAGAATTCATGGAACATCTATCTGTACGTTAAAGACAGTGACTCTCTCTTTTAAGAAGGCTTTATAATGCAGAGAGTAGATTTTTGCCTTGAATGGCAAATACAATTGTAGTTGGCTAGAAAGATACAAGTTTGTTTTGTTTGAGACAGGTCTTGATGTTTAGGTCAGGGATCTTGAACTCATTTAGCCCTGGCTGGCCTCAAATTTGTGCTGATTTTGCCTCAGCAATCTGAGTGCTGGGATTATAGGCGTGCGCTCGAACCACGGACTTCTGCATGCTAGGCAATTGTTCTGCCACTGAGCCACAGCCTCAGACTAAAGCATTTGTTCTAAAGATTTTTGTGGTCTTTACCAAGTCACCTAACTTCTTTGTACTTCTATTTTCTCACATTATTAAAATAAATACTTTTACTTTTTTCTGCATAATACATGCCTTTTCCAAACCTAAATTGAACCATTGGGAGATAAAGTTACTTATCTCAGGGCTTTTGTGAGGTCCAAATAAGATAACTGAAAAATGAAAACTACATTATTATTAATAAATAGTTGCTGCATTGATAATTATGAGTGATAATATGTGGCATATATTTGGAAGCATGAATAATCAACTCCTGTCTAAAATGATTGTACAAGCTCAAATATACTTAAACACCAAAGATGAGTTCATTTTAAGGAATTTAAGTATACTCTGTGCTATAATTTTTCTTTCTTTTGCCTTGAAGTTTTTTGGTCTGACTTCTTTCATGATATGTATTTCTTATTTGAAAGAATCTTTTAGAGTTTTCCTGTATAAACCCTACTTATAGTGGCACATTTCTATAATCTCATTATGCAACAGGCTGAGGAAGGAAGATCAAATGTTCTTGCCCAGCCTGTAGTGAGACCCTGTCTTGAAATTTCTTTAAAAAAAGAACTGGGGAATGTAATTCTGTTGAATATTGCTTGTCTAATTTGCAAAAGGCTCCAGGTTCAATACCCAGTACCATACACAAGAAAATGATTTTCTTGCATGAAACTTTAGTCCATGAATTTGTCAAATATATGTAGTCCATAAAAGCTGTTTGTATAATTTCTACTCCTTAGTTATATATTCTTTGTTCTTCTTTGTTATCTGTATGGTAGTTTAATATTATCTTTAATTTGCTCAAAGGTATTTTTAGTTCATTTTAAATATAAAACCATTTTTAGTAGGCAGGTTTACCTAAGTAATATTGTATACAAAAACATTTATAAATATCTTTTCCACTATTTAAATCTTTATAGGTGTGGATCAGACCTCATTTGGATTAAAACGTCCTTCTACTTCTAAAATAAGCAGTGTTAATCCAAAAAAGCCGAAGACCAGTGAACGTGTTTCTGAAATAAATCCCTTCTTTTCATCTTCCAAGACATCTTCCAAGGTTATGGTATCACCAGGTAAGTATGAAATCCAACATGTGAAAAAGTAATCATCTTATGTATAAAGTATAGAAATTGTGACAAAATTTTAAATTATTACTTGTGGTTATTTGAGTTTTTAAATTAGATGAATTTCTATCATAAAAGTTTATTTTATTTTAGGTTTAAATATTTCATCCACTGAACTGAAAACCGAAGAGCCTTTCCTAAGATCTTGTCCAAAGTGCAATATTCAGTTCAATATTTTGGATCCTTTGAAATACCACATGAAGGTAAAAACTTTTTTCAAAATTTATTTTTAAATGTTTAAAAATCCCTGAAAATTCTAAGGATTGATATATAGTGAATGGTGATTTGTCCAGATATTCAGATAATAAATCTTCTCGTATTGGTGTTTTCATATAACAAGTAAAAATTGGTACTCATGATTGTTGTTATACAAGTTGTTGTTGCTGTTGGTTTTTTGTTCTGATACTGAGTATTGAACCCAAGGCCCCACACAAGCTAAGCAAGTGCTCTCCCATTAGGCTATATCCCAGCCAATTTTTATTTTTAGACAAGATCTCACTAAGTAGTTCAGGTAGGGCTCAAACTTCCAGTCCTCCTGCTTTGGCCTCCTAAGTAGCCGGGATGACAGTAGACTCCCACACTGAGCCCAATCATGAAATTTTAAAAAGTAAATTCATATACACACTACAGTGTGTGGCTCTTGCATTTCAATTATAAATGAAAATATTGTATTAATGAAAATATTTTATTGACTGAATCATCATTCTTTTCAAGCTTCTGGTAAAGTAGGCATTTTTTAGTTGTTTAATCTTTTGTATGACCTAAAAATTCCTCTTATTTTTTGTCCATGGTGATATATGCACGTTACATACTCATTGAAAATGTTAGTTTTACCTTTTAGTTTTCATCACTCAGAAATAAACCCTCACAAGAGCAAGAGATGATAGACTAGAGATCCCTCCCTTGGCCTCTCATCACCCCACACCTGCCCCTTTTCAACAGGAAGTAGCTACAGAAGAGAGATACTTCGCCCCTCTTTCCCAGGCCATAACAAACAGAAAAGGGAGGATTATAAGATAAGTGCCTTGGAATGGCTGCCGCCATTCCGATGAATAACTTCTTCACCTTAAAGTTTCCACTTCCTATCTCATGCGTCACCAGTCATGAGACCGGCGCATGAACAAGGATTGTCTGCATAAAAATAAATGTCCAAGAGTGGCCCCAGAGTGGCTGCCCGTGCAACCCATGCAATCCCCGACCCGCCTACACCAGTCACTCAATATGTAACCAAGCCCCTTCCTGTTTCCTCTCTCTTTTGTTCTCTTTTTGCCAAGTAGGCCATTGTGCCACCACCGGGGCGCTTTAATAAAGATTTCTCATATGAGCAAAAAAGAAAAGAAATAAACTGTCGTAGCATTTTTTTGAAGTGATAGCTTCAACTTAATCCAGAATATAGCAGATGTAGTTATAAATGAATTCTAGCTTTATATTAGTGTGGGGAGCTCTTGATATTGGGTTTTAAATAATTCTCAAAGTACTAAGACAGGTTTTAGAATACATTCCTCTTGAATTCAGATGTTATAATAGCTTACTGTGTCAGTGTATTTTAGATAGTCTTATTCTCTCTTTGCATACCTGGTGTAAATAGCATGAAGTTGGGGAGGAGACAAGAAAAAAGGTAATGTAGATGATAATATAAGGAAGAAAGATTGAAAAGTGTGTAAAGTAAAGAAACAACTTGGGAAAAAGTATTCTTTGTTGTTCCATCAATTATAAAGCTTTTATTGAAATTCAGCATTTTATGATGTGGGTGTGGTGGTACATGCTTGTGATCTAAGCACTTGAGAGGCTGAGGCAAGGGATTGCAAGTTGAAGGCCACCCTAAGACTACATACATATTGAGACCCAGTCTCCAAAGAAAAACTGTGTGTGGGAGGAAGGGGGGCTGTTCTAAAATTCTGAATACACATCTCTGTTCGGGGCAAAGCTGTATTGTTCTGTCACTGCATCTCCTGAGAGTGTTTGAGGAAGGTAAATCCAAGTTTTAATTATCAATATTTTCTTTGATATTATCCAATTCTATTTTATGGTATTTGTCATTAGGAGTTATTGGGTGTACCCTTACAGATTCAGTGTGAATGCATTCTTTTATGTCTTCTTTTTTTGTTGTTGTTTTTTGTTTTGTTTTGTTTTTTGAGACGGTCTCCCTATGTAGTTGAGACTGACCTGGAACTCACTTTGTAGCCCAGGCTGGTCTCGAACTCACAGTGATCCTCTTGCCTCAGCCTCCCAAGTGCTGGGATTATAGACGTGCCTCCACGCCCAGCTTATGTCTTATTCTTAATGCTTTTTAGCTTTCATTCCATTTTTATTGATATCAAGCTCATAATCCTTGCTTTCTTATTGTTTTCATTTACCTTCTGCATTCTTTTTTATCCCTTTATTTTTATCCCTTCCAAATCACTTTTAGTATTTTTTTTTCCTTTTTGTGGTACTGGGGATTGAACTCAGGACCATGTGCTTGCGAGGCAGGTGGCAGATTTAGTGTATTTCTTATTCTTACCAAAATTATTTTTGCTTTTGTGATCATACATGAAAATCTCTATTACGAGTTGTGTTAAACCCATTTATATTTGGATAGGAAAGATTTAATTGATCGGATAGACTTACTTGGTTTTGGTTCTGTAACAACTTTTTGTTAGGCTTTCTTTTCTAAGACTTTCACTTTGTACTTGTTTTGTGTATATATAGCTTGGATTGTTTGTAAAGTTTCTTTCCATCCTAACTTGTTTTATTACGCAGTCTTGTCCCTTTTTACACCATTTGATTGAGGTGTGATTGACATGTCTCAGAAAGCACTAGTGCTTCACATATATATGACTCATAGTATTCAAAGATAAATACATATCTGCGAAAACATTACAATCTATGCCATAAACACATCCATCACCTTCAAAGATTTCTATACCCCCTTTTTTGTGTATTTGATAAAAACACAAAATAATTCCTACCCCATTAGCAATTTTTTAAGTATCCAGCGCAGTATTAACTACATGCTATACTGCCATGTACAGGTGTAAATTCCCTATGATGAGTGTTATCACTATGTATGCCGAAAATGTACTTATAAATGTTTTGTTGTATATTTTTTAAAGTTAAAAAAACTATATGCCATGCTGTACAGTAGATATTTGGGGCTTATTCAGCTTTAATAACTGAAATTTTGTACCCTTTGACTCTTATTGCCCTATCTTCCAGACCATGACAGACACCATTCTACTCTCAGCATTATTAGTTTGACTACTTTAGATTTCTTGTATAAAAAGAATCATGTAGTATTTTCCTTTCTCCAAGGATATATAATATTCCTTATTATGTATAGAACCACATTCTCTTTATCCATTTGTATGTGACTAGACATTTAGAATTGCTTTCATTCCTTGAGTATTGTGAATAATGAATACTGCAGTAAATATGAGACTATACATTTGTCTTCGAGATCGTGGTTTCAATTTTTTTTTTTTTTTTTTTTTTTTTTTTTTATTTTGTACTGGGGATTGAACTCGGGTCCTTGCAAGGCAGGCCACCGAACCGCTGATTTAAATCCCTGGCCCCGTGGTTTCAATTTCTTTCACTACATAAGTATCCTGCTGGATCATATGGTGGTTCTATTTTTAATTTTTTGAAGAACTTCCATACATTTTCCACAGTAGCTGCATGATTTTACATCCCATCAACAGAGTACAAGGGTTGTCTTTACTCCACATGTTGGCAACACTTGCTGTCTTTTTGATAATAGCCATTGTAACAAGTATGAGGTGATCCCAGATTGTGGTTTTGATTTGTTTCTCTAAAGATTACTGAAATTGAATGCCTTTTTTAAATAAAAAATATTTTGTCTCTCGCTTTTTTTGCACTAAGGATTGAGCCCAGGGCCCTCGTACTTTTAAAATTTTCATTATTTTTAGGTTTTTAAATTTTAAGACAGTCTTACTAAATTGCCCAGGATGGACTTGCACTTGTGATCCACTTGCTTCAAGCCTCTCAGAGTGCTGAGATTACAGATGTGTGCCACCTTGAATGCCTTTTCACGTGGCTTTTGGCTTGGCTATTTGTATGTCTTCTTCAGAGAAATGCCTATTCGGTCCATTTGCCCATTTTTAGATCAGTTTGATTTTTTTGCTATTGAGCTATAAGGGTTTTTATATTGTGTGGATATTAACCTTTATCAGATCTATGCTTTGCGAATATTTTCTATTTATATTTGTTTTTTGGCTCTTAATCCTTCAAGATATTCTACAACTGAAAAGTGTATACAATAAGTTTTCTTATTGAAAAGGTTCATATATGAAGTATCTCACATTAGTATCAATTTGTATTAGATAACTGATTTTCTTCATGAGTTACATATCCCTGTCAGATATGTAAGCAAACAGATTTAAACATTGAGGTTTTTCAAAGCATTGAGATAACTGGTGTTTAAGCCCCATATCTTTTAGCACCTTGAGTCTGGAGAACGTAAGACTGGCTGTGCTTAATATCTAATTCCAATCAGGATTGGTAAAACCTACTACTTTGTGTTACTTGATAATTAAATTTATACATAATGGTGTATAAAAATGCATTTCCCTTTAGGCCATATCTTAACACAAACATAAAATACACTATTTTTATCCAAGAAACAAAGTATTAAATATTTACATCTGAAAAGCAGGAATTACAATGACAAAGGTATTAGGTATATAGATATCTCTAATCTTACTTTTTTTTTTTTTTTTGGTAATGGGGATTGAATTCAGGTCCTTGTGCTTGCAAGGCAGGTGGTGGCACCACTGAGCTAAATCCCCAGCCCTAGATATCCCTGATTTTAAGGGTTTCAGTTTGTTCTTGAAGTTATTAAGATAATGGATATCTACTGTTGGAATTTTTTAGAATTCATAAGGAAAGAAGCCATTATGTTGTGAGTCTTCCCAGATATATTGCCAGACATACATTTTTTTTTTGAGACAGGGTCTCACTATGTAGTTCAGACTGGCCTTGAAGTCACTATGTGGCCTAGTCTGGTCTTATACCTGCAGTGATCCTCCTGCCTCGGCCTCCAGAGTGCTGGGATTACAGGCATGCACCATCATGCCCACCTGTTTTTGAGTTTTTGAAACAGGGTCTTGCTATGAAGTTCAGGCTGGCCTTGAAATCTCTTTGTAGCCCAGGCTGGCTTTGAACTCATGGGAATCCTCTTGCCTCATCCTCCCAAATACTGGAATTACAAACATGTACCACTATACCTGTCTCTTAATTTTGTTTTTGTTTTTCAGAATTGGTTTTTGGCGTGTAATATTTTCCTAGATCAGACGAGATTTGGTGCATTCAGGGTGGTATGGCCATAGACAGGAATCTAATATTTTAAGAGATGCAAATAAGGCTTATTTTTTTCTCTTCCAGCGCTGTTGTCCAGACATGTTAAATAACTTTCTGGAAGCTATTAAGAGAGAATTTTCATCTGCTAAAGACACAACAAATGCTGGTTCTGAGAAAGAAAAGTTGATCATGTTAGTTAGTGACTTTTATTATGGAAAGCATGAAGGAGCCATGGAGGAAGAACCGAAGACTTACACAACCTTTAAATGCTTCAGTTGCTTGAAAGTTCTTAAAAATAACATTAGGTATGTCAATAGTTACAACCATCCTTTGATAACCGAGTTCCATTCCTGTGACTAGCTCATTAATTGAATTGGTCACTAAATGAGGAATTGTATATGTTATTTACATTAGAGTATTCAGAACAAAGAAAAGGTCAAAGGAAGCTCCAACTTGATGACTGCTTTTATTTGTATAACTCTTACCTGCATTACTATAATGTATAGTAGAACATAAAACTATAGTACTGTGTAGTACAATCAGAAATTACAATGTTGTATGAAGAAGATATACTATACTTTAAAAAAGACATTGAAGCCAGGTGTGGTGGCTCATGCCTGTAATCCCAGCACTCAGGAGGCTGAGGCAGGAGGATCACTGTGAGTTCGAGACCAGCCTGGGCTACATAGTGAGTTCCAGGTCAGATTCGACTACACAGTGAGACCCTGTCTCAAAAATCCAAAAAAAAAAGACATTGAGGCTTGGGCCTGGGATTTAGCTCACTGGATTCACCGCCTGCCTTGTATGTCCAAGGGCCCGAGTTCGATCCCGGGTACCAAAAAAAAAAATTAGGGAAAAAGACATTGAGGCTTTATAAACAAGATATAGATATCCCTAGACAAGGAATTTTAACATGTTCTGCTAATAACAGAGGCAGGTTATTATGCTCAAAAACTTTTATCCTTGTGTTTTAGTAGTTTGACTTTTGCATCTAATTGTATTTTTTTTCAGATAGCTTTAAGAAAGGACAAATGTAACTTTAGGAAAATTACTTTTATTGCCCTACATTTATTATTGAACTAAAAGTTTACTGTAAGATGTTCTTATTTTCTAGTCGCTCTTGAATCGTATTCTTATATCATAAGAACTACTTTATGCAGTCTGACCCTCCATAGTCTTAATGCTCAAATTCTTCATATTTATAATTTTTAGCATATTTAGCTTGTGTTAAAAAGTGAATTTATTGTAGGGGTGGGTTTATTCATTCTTTAATTTATGCAGTCCTGGGTATTAAACCTGGAGGCTTCACGTTGAGCTACATCCCCAGCTCTTTTTTACTTAATTTTGAAAGATAAGTCTGTGAGTTGCCCAGGCTGGGCTCAATCTCAAAATTCTCCCTCAATCACCCAGAGTTCTAGGATTACCTGTGTGCCATGAGACTCAGCTCCTAGCCCTTTTTATTTTTTATTTTGAGACAGGGACTCAATAAGTTTCCCGGGCATGTCTAGAACTTTTTGATCATCCTAGATCTGCCTTCTTCAGTGCTGAGGCTACAGACATGTGCCACTGCACCTGGCACCTAAAACATTTTGAAATACATGTTCCCAGTGGAATTTTAAAGACTTTATACACGTATGCTTAAATTTAGAAACTTGTACTTTACTGTCTTTGAGATACATAGTGTGTAACATAGCTATCATTTTAGGTGAGATAATAACAAAAGAAAGTAACAAGTCACACATGTTGTTTGTTTTTTGAGACGATGTCTGGCTATGTAGTTCAGGCTGGCCTTGAACGTATGACTATTCTCCTGTCTCAGTCTCCTGAGTTGCTGGGACTACAGGAGTATGCCCATGCCTATAACATGACATATTGATTGGTATTTTTCAATATTTAAGTAGCTTGACATTCATATTAGGTGAGGTTTTTTTCCAACATCTTATTATAATAAGAATTTTCAAATATTCAACATATACACAATACCTATGTATGTGTGTGTATATTTTTTTCAGACCTTCAAAAGATTTCTTTCATGGTAGTTTTGTTGGTAGATTTTTCCTTCCTCTGATTATTTTATTTTGAAATAAAAGTAGAATTTCAGATATGGAAAAGAAGACCGCTTTTCTTCATCACAAAAAGTTTTAAATTTGAAATAATGCCAAAGCATTGTAGCAGATTAGTGATATTTCATAATAACTACATTAATAGATTATTTAAGCTATACACTTTCTTTTGAGACAAGGTATTGCTATGTTGCCTAGGCTGACCTCAAATTCTTGAGCTCAAATGATTCATTTGCCTCAGCCTGAGTAGCTAGGACTATGGATGTAAATGTGCCTCTGCCACCTGAAGTGCATGCTTTGTGTGTGTGTGTGTGTGTGTGTGTGTGTGTGTGTGTGTGTGTGTGTGTGAGTGATACAGAGATGTTATTTTGAGTTCCAGTCATACAACTGCATTTTGTAAATTTTACGTTAAGATGCTTACTGTGAGATTTTCTGTGGTTATGTCTATATTTTTGCCCATTGACAATCATTTATAGGTTCATGAACCACATGAAACACCACTTGGAACTTGAAAAGCAGAATACTGAGAGCTGGGAAAACCATACCACCTGCCAGCACTGCTACCGGCAGTATCCCACGCCCTTCCAGCTGCAGTGCCACATCGAGAGTACACATACTCCTCATGAGTTTTCCAGTAAGTGGCAATTTCATTGAAGTTCTGAATATTACTGATTTTGATCATCTAAACTGAGTGAGAGAACTTTAAAAATTCTGTTGAAAAATAAGAATAAGCAATAGACTTTGTAATGTGTGGGCAAAATAAAACATGTAATCCTTACAAATAAAATTTGCTACTAAAATTGAAATGCTCATGTAAATAATTCATTAGTGGGAACTCCTTTGACACAACTCAGTGCTTTGTGTGTAAGGTAGTAAACTCAAACACCCAGATCTGTGGTTTTCAAATTTGAAATAAGTGGCCTTGATTTACACTTTATTATAAAAAATAATTTCAGGGGCTGGGGATTTAGCTCAGTGGTTCTGCTCCCTGCCTTGCAAGCGCAAGGACCTGAGTTTGATCCATGGTACCAAATAATAATAATAACAATAATAATAGTAATTTAATTGGTACTTAACACTCACAGTCTGGGAACTGGACAACTTGGATTCAGGGCCTAGCTCTGCCTCTTATTACCGCTGAGCGATCTTAAGCAAGTTACTTAATTTTTCTATGCTTTGTGTTCCTCTTATGAAAAACAGGCATAAAAATAGCAGTGCCTCCCTGTTGTGAGAATTAAAACACCAAATAATGTCCTTAGAATAGTGTTAGACTCAATAGTAATAGATGTATTAACACCAACTTCACCTTTACTACTACTGCCATTGATACTACTTCTTGTTATGGAAGTAGAAAATGCATCCTTTTTTATGTACATCTTTAAAATGATATAATGTTTTTTTCTACTTTCAGCTATTTGCAAAATCTGTGAATTGTCATTTGAAACAGAGCATATTCTTTTGCAACACATGAAGGACACTCATAAACCTGGTGAAATGCCCTATATTTGCCAGGTACATAAATGTTTTATACTTTGACATTTGTTTGATTTCCATGTGCCATGAAATAGTATTGCTCTTTTGATGTTTTACCCATTTTCATAAAATTAGTTACTATATTAAAATTTGAAGAGCCTCTTCATTAGTGAAAATTGCGTTGGTTTAACTTAAGCATTGTATGTGGGAATGGCAAGCTGGATTTGGCCTGCAGGCTCTATGTAACCTCTGTTTGCTGACCTCTGTAGTAGACAAAAATATCCTTCTGGAGAAAGATATGTGGGCTCATTATCTTAAGGAAGATTATAGACATGCCAGGGAAATAGAAAATCTTCATAGTTACAGAGGGCCCAATTAAATCCTTTGGGACCAGTGTTTTTCCAGAATTTGAAATGACACTCAGTAATAATAAAGCAAGATAAAGATAAATTGTCATTGGAATAGCCTTTACAATCTAAAGAAGAAAATAAGCAGGAAAACTTTATAGATCAAGAAGTGTCAGAGCTTGAAAATTCAAGTGAAGATGGGAACGGTAGATCTGAAAAGAAGGAAACCTTATGTTTTGGAATATATCCCTAAGCTTTGAAAGATAACATCAGTTTCAAAGGTTATCTTTATTACTTGTCATGATAGAAGTCTTAATTGTATAGATAGCAGAGATAAATAATACAGAATGTTCTTCTAAACAAGTGACTTGCTGAGCATGATGGTGCACACTGTAATCCCAGCACTCGGGAGGCTGAGGCAGGAGGATCACTGAGTTTGAGGTCAGCCTGGAATGCGTAGTGAGACCCTGCTGCAAAAAACGAGCACACACACACAAAAAAACAAATTACTCATTATTAATTTGATGTAATTGTATGCAAGTTATAAAATCTCAAGTTAAACTAAACCTTTATATTTTTAGGTTTGCCAGTTTAGATCATCAACCTTTTCTGATGTGGAAACTCATTTTAGAACATCCCATGAAAATACTAAGAACTTGCTGTGTCCATTTTGCCTCAAAGTTAGTAAAATGGCAACACCCTACATGAATCATTACTTGAAGCATCAGGTGAGATTTAGCAGTTCTTTGTTCTTGATATCTTAATGAATGGATACACATACTGAGAACACTGGTTACATTTGTTTAGATAAAAATGAGAGTTACTCCAAACAACACAATAAACATTTAGTTTACACAGAATTACCTGTGAAACTTCTACTTCTTTGCTTTGCCTGCTTTCTGATGATTGAAGCCCATAAGTAGTAAAAGTTCTGAAAATAGCTAGAAATAGGAACCCCACAGTAGAGACCAAAAGGGCAAATGAGTAGAATATTTTAAACTGAGGAAAATAAGATTGACAATTTACAATCTTCTATTTTCTTCTTTCTTCAAACCTTATTCCTACTTTCTAGCTCACATTTTGTTATGAGAAGATTGTCTTCAGTGACCCAGAAAGGTCGCTTGTAACAGCTCATAACAAAGGAAACAGCAATGACATTTACTACCAGATATGTGATCTATATCAAAGAACTATATTTAGGTTGCAGCTTGTTTCTTGCATGACTTTTGCCAGCTTTGCTGTGTATTTTCTAGGATATCAGTGCTTGCACCTTTCCCTTGAATTCTGATTGTAGGCTTCCTGGTTGTTTTTCTGAAACAGGTGATCTTTTAGGCTCAAAACTCTGATGAGTGTTTAAAAGAGCATCAGTGCCTTTGCAAAAATCAGAAGTCAATGGATTTACTGAATCTAAATATGTAATCAAGCTTTGCCTCCTCACTGAGCAGCTCATTATATTTTCTTATTATTGATTGCATTGTCATGGCCAGTTGATTCAGCATGAGTGCTAATATGGCTTTTTTCCCCAGTCATTAAGAAATCAATTTGTTGTTGATTAAAAGAATCATAAAAACAAAATCTCCAGATACATTCAGAAATATTTGTGTTATCACTAGGATAATACCGCTGTACTTATTTTATTTTATCCTGGTGGACCACCTTATCCTTAAGAACCTCTGGCAAAATCTTCCTATTCTAGGGATTTCCCTCAAATTGTTCCTAATAAAAGAAGTTTGATGTTTGGGTTTACAAAATTCATAGGACATCCTTCCTTATTTTTTTTAATTTTATTGAGTTTATTGGTACATTTTAGGGATACAGTACAGTTACATTCATTGTTGGGATCATGTACCTCTACATGGCAAGTCTTGATTCTCATTTTTTCCCCTTACCTCTGCCCTCCCTTCACCCCGTCCTTCCTTATTTTTAAAAATAGGGCTTTTTATAACTTGTAGTACCTTGTAGATAGTAAGAGACTTTGTATATTATGTTTTCCAAACTTAAGACCATCAAATCCTTTATTTACACAATATTTGTAAATATTTATTGAGGAGTATAGTTTGGGAAACAGTGTTCTTTGGGCTATTTCATCTTTTGGCCTTTCTTTTTTTTTTCTTGGTACTGGGTATTGAACTCAGGACCTTGTGCATATGAAGCAAATGCTCTGCCAAATCCCTGGCTCTTGACCTGTGATTTTTTTAAATTTTTTTTGGTATGGAACCAGGGATCAAACTCTGGACCCTGTGCTTGAGAGGCAGGCACTGGAACCACTGAGCTAAATCCCCGGCCCCTTGAACTTTGATTCTTAAAAGAATGAAATAAGATGGGTACTGTGGTACATCCTTATAATCCCAGCCCTGAAGGAGGCTGAGGCTAGAGTTCCAGCCCAGCCTTGGCAAATTAGTGACTCAAGGAGACCCTGTCTCAAAGTTTAAAAAGGGCCGGAGATGTAGCTCACAGTAAAGGCCCTGAATTCAATCTACAGTACTGCGAAAAAGTGAAGCATAAAGTAGTGTTGCTGTTTCATTATGAAGCTTTTAGCTTAATTCCTCTATGCTTTACTAAGCTTCAGAGGGATATGTACTAGGTAAAAAGAGATAGGTGGATGTACTATGTGGGCTATGTCTCTGTCATTCTTCATGCCCTAAATTGTATGTCTTAATTTGTCATGTGTACTGGAGAGTTATTTCATCAGGTCTGAATTGCTCAAATTTGGTAGGGAAGATTTCACTTGATCTTAGCCAAAAGGCCGAGAAGCGATTGGAAGATTTCAGATATGTTAAATGTTTTCATTAACTACATAAGAATATGTAGCTGCCATATGACAGCCCCTGGTAATTTTATATGCATTATTTTGTTTCATCTTTACAGTCACCTGTAAAGCAGGTGCATAATTGTTTCCCTTTCATAGATGAGAAAACAGAGCTTTATAGAAAGTAAGTAACTTTCACACTATCACATTCTTTTAAAAAAATAGCACAGCCAAAAATTGATTTAGGCCCCAAGATTTTACCACAGACTCACATCCCACAGACAATAGGTCTAAAGGCAGAAATGAAAAGGTCTGTATCACTTGGGAAATTTCCTCATATCACCCAAATAATATAGTATTCTTGTCAAAAAGCTCACACAGTTTTTCTCCACCCTTGGAACAAATCACTATTTCTTTGGTTAAGAATCCTGTTATCTTAACAGTGTACTATATCATCATCATCCTTAGCACATTGCAAGCATATATACTTAAGAGAGATGCATAAGACTTGAGTTTAATTTAAGGAATGATAGATTAATGTCTCCCAACACAGAGCTTTAAACTAGTTAAATTATGCGTGCTGTGCCTGTCAGTCTCTTATGATATGCCTCACTGTTTATTTAACAGATACTTATTAAACCTAATATATGCCCAAGACTTTTAGGTATGTGAGATATAGAAGTGAGCCGAGCAAAGTTTATACTCTCTGGAATTTGCATTGTGGTGGAAAGAGAGAGAGACAGAGACTGACTGACTAATGTCTGAATGTATATGTATGCCAGCTGGTGGTAAATACAGCAGGAAGAAAATACAGGTGGATATTGAAAACTTAAGTGAAGAGGTGATTACTGTTTTATGAGGTAGTCCAAGAAGACCTCTTCAAAGGTGGTAAGGAAATCATTTGGCTATCTGGGAGAGAAAGTTCTGGACAGGGAAGAACAGGTAGTGTGATGAACATATTCATACCAAGGATGTTCAGAGAACAGCAAGGTCAGTGTGGTTGGAGCACAGTAAATGAGGAAAAGTAGTAGATGAGATTGTAGCAATAGAAGGCAAACCAGATCATGTAGGTCCTTGTGTAAGTCAGAGGGGATTCTGGAGTGTTACGGAAAAATGACTGGAGAATTTAAGCATGAGAACTGCAGTATTTTTAAGATCTTTCTGATAGCCATGGGAAAGAATTGACTGTAGGAGGGTTAAATAGAAGATAGGAAGGAGCCTGTTGTAGGAATCCACATGAGTGGCTTTAGACTCTCATGGATGATCGCAGTGGTTGGAGATAATAAATGGTTATAAATACTTTTTGAAGGCATCGCTGATAAGTTTTATTAATGGATTAATGGGTTGAGTGTAGGATGTGAGAGAAAGAGATTTACAAGTAGCCAAGATTTTTTTATCTCAAACAACTATAAGAGTGAAGATTCCTGGGCCGGGTATTTAGCTCAGTGGCACCATGCCTGCCTCACAAGTGCAAAGTCATGAGTTCATTCCCCAGTACCAAAAAAAAAAAAGATTCCTGGGATATTTGAAGGCTGGGGAAGGAACAGATTTTTTTTACTGTTACACACACACACACACACACACACAGTGCATGGAAGGAATTCTGGAATTTTGTTCATGTTGATTTGAAGTGCTTAACGAACAAGGAGAGATATCCAGTAGACATTTAGATGGCTGCTATTTAAAACCATGAAACTGAGTGAAATACAGGTATATGTGGAGAAAAGATTTCTGGGAACTGTACTATAGGAAATTTTCTATCTTGATATCTTCCAGTCTATTTCTTGGCTGAATTTTCTCTTTCATTCTCGCTCTCTCTTGATCATATATTATGTTGATTGTACCTATAAGATCCAATGCACTTCTAAAATAGTCTGAAAATGAGACTAAAGCAGTAAAACACAAATTATATATTGTTTTGAACTTTATAGAGAATTTATTCATCACATGACACCTGTACAGTAGTAACTGTGCTCAGTACTTTTTTATATGTTGCCTCATTTTGTTTTTTCAAAATGATTGTATCTTGAAAGTAATGTTCTTGTGGAAATACAGCTTTAGAGAAAACATGTTTTAAATTTACATTTAGTATTCTTCAAACATAAAATATTATAATGAAAGCTTACATATAAAGATTGCAATTAATTTTGTATACTAAAAAATGCTATGGATGGTGATAAATTTTTCTTGGGTCCTATTTCCCACTGGCAAAATATAATAGGCCTACACTTGAAGAAGGGACTAGATCAAGGAGTTCTCAAACAATAAATCAGGAACAATTCTCTGTATTTCCTTATGCATGCTATCCAATATTATATCCTCTGTGTCTCTTTAACTTTAAACTAATTTTAAAAATTAGACAATCAGCTTCTCAGTTGCACTTGTAACATATGAAGTACTCAGTCACTACATAGGGCTAATGAATACCATAATGGACAATGTGACTATAGAATATTATCACTATAGAACATTCTATTGGACAGAAATGCTTTGTGCAACTCTAATGACCAAAGTTCTGTTTATTTTACCAACTTGTGAATCAAATGCAAATAGCAGAAACTATAAAGTATTTATTTAAGGATAAAAACATAGTATAATTCATTTTCACAGTATGATTTATTTGAACAGTTTATACTTCAAATTTATAATTAAAAGGCACAACTGGACAGGACTTTTTCCCCATTAGATCCTAAATGATATAATTTTTATGTTGACTGCTTATAGGGTAACAGATACTTTTAAAACTCAAATACTAATGCAATCAGTGTTTTTAAAACATAAAATAAGAGCCTGGTATAGTGGCACATACCTTTAATCCCAGTTCCTGAGGAGGCTTAGGCAAGATCACAAGTTCTATGCTACCTAGGCATCTTAACAAGACCCTATGTGGTGGGGGGAGGTTGTGAGCAAGAGCACTCTTACCTACCATGACTGAGGCCCTGAGTTCAGTCCCCAGTATAGTCAAAAAATAAAGTATCAGCTGAAGGTTTAGCGTAGTGGTAGCGTAAGGCCCTGTGTTCAATCCCTAGCATAAAAAATAATATTTTATTATTATTTGTGATAGGAATTGCTTAAAATACTAGTGTTTAAATTATGTACATGTTAGAATTAAGAGCAATTTCAGGTCCCAAGATTCATGGTGGTAGAAGTTACTATTTCTAATATTTTCTATGGACAGAAAAAGGGAATTCATCGCTGTTCAAAATGCAGATTACAATTTTTGACCTGCAAGGAGAAAACTGATCACAAGGTACAACATCGTACATTTATAAGGCCTAAAGAACTAGAAGGATTACCTCCTGGAACAAAAGTAAGTATTAAGTATGTTGCATTTTAAAATTTTTATGATACACATAAACCCTGCCTTTTTTCGTCTATTGAACATAATCTGAAACAGTGACCTCTGATTGTTATTAGCCTTGTAATTTTAGATTTTATCATTCTTATTCGTGGAATTTCTAAACGTGTGTGTGTGTGTTTTGCAATACTGGAGATTGATCCCAGGGCCCTTATACTGAGCTATATCCTCAGCCTTTTTCTTTTTTAAAATATTCTAATTCACTTTACCATTGGCATTAATTTTGTCTTTCATTTTTCTTTCAGTTTTAAGTTTTCTTTTCTTTTCTTTTTTTTTTTTTCTTCGTACCGGGGATCAAACTCGGGACCTTGCATTTGTGCAGCAGGCAGCAGCACCACTGAGCTAAATCTCCAGCCCTTTCTTTCTGTTTACAACAATTTCCAACTTATACCTATATTTAATATTATTTAAATCTGCTAAAGACATTAACTGATTGCTTTCCTAAATCTAAGGATTACATAATTTTAATATAAATATATATAATGTATTTTCATCAAATTTTGACAAAACTAAATAAGCATTCCTTTTTTTTAAGTCCATGCTCCTGTCATTTATAAAATCTTATTTAATTATCAGAAATTCTTGGTTATCACTCTTCAAATACAACAGTCTTCCTTCTGAACTGCCACTCACTTTTTATATAAAAAGCAATAGAAAAACCATTGAAATTATGCTAATCGTAGTTCTGGCCTTTGACACTATAAAATGTGAACCCTTTTAAAAAATGAAACAAGGGCCGGGGATTTAGCTCAGCAGTTCAGTGGCCTGCCTTGTAAGCGCAAGGACCCGAGTTCAATCCCCGGTACCAAAAAAAGAAAAAAAAAAAAGAAAGAAACAAATACATCCAAAGAGGAGTACATTCAAATGAGCTGAGTTCCTTGAAGGTCATCACCTTGGAAGGCCACAGTTCACTATCTTAGCTACACTGCCACTGCACAAAACACTTTTCAAATTCTTTTGGATTGCCCTCAAAGCCAGGTGTGTACTTTCTGCATTACCTCAAAATTAGATTTAATTTTTAGAAACTGTCATTTGGTGCCAAATAATGGTAACTGAAAACAAATTTGGCAATGCTATTTTTACAAAACAATGTATAATCCAAAAGTTAATAGTTTGTGTTTCTTAAATTAACTTTGAATGTAATTCTAAAAGAGCAAACCCATGAGGTTTTGGGCAATGGTAGATTGCTCTTTCAAATGCTAGCAATCACTATGCAGGCTAACATTCGTTTAGCTGTCTATGTTCTGGCATATTTGTTTAAAGTGACATTCTGACAGGTAAACTATTCTTTTAAAAAGTAATGTCATTCTTAAAGAATTTTATCGCTGTCAAAGTATTTTGTTAGAAGGTAGTTCTCCTTACTTTATCAATAAAAACTACTTTAAAAATCTTAAAAACAAGTCATTTATTTGCTTCCAAATTTTTTAATCATTAGCAAAAATAAAGTAATTTGAAATTTCTAAGATACTAAAAATTAAAACAACCTCAAATGTACTAAAAACACATCAAGAACCAAACTACAATTTCTGAGCTGCACTGTTTATTTTGCTGCTTGAAACCTAAGTGACAGCATGCCACTATAGTTATAGGGTTTCATCTAAACCTTTACTACATTGCAGATACAGAAATATACAGACACATTTCTTGAGAATTGACATTTTGCAAAATGCATCATTTTCATTTAAACATGAGAAGAGGAAATGTTCAAAAGGGTACTTACCTCAAGTTATTGCAGGTTATTTGTGACAATTTCTGCAGTATAAAATATGTTTAAATTTAACAGTAACATGTCAGTGTATTTAAAATCATGACAAAATCTTCTCTCTGGTCATGTTATCCATGACAAATTCCTGTGATTTTCTTTGTGTATTTAGGGCAAGATGTCAATGCAGCATAAATCCCTTGGTATTTTTATTTTGTTCTGGAGATTAAAGCTTTTTTTCTTGGGATAAGTGCAGCAGCAAAACACAAACCAGTTGATGAAAAAAGCATTTCCACATAGCTCCAGTAATTTTTAGGACACATCAACCTACAGTAGTTTTGCCATTTCCATTTCTTTTAAGGATTACATCTCTGCACTTAAATACATCTGTAAGAGCTTGTTCTTCATTAAGGGGGTTTGCTGACTACAGCCTGGTTGAGAAAATTTAGTTTAGTATAATGTGCACTGCCTCTCTTCTGATGATCCAGTTCAAGGAGCTGGTTGATTTCATCTTTTTGGCCGTGGATAGTGTTACCCAGTATGCACTTGCACCAGCAAGCTTCCCATATCAGCTACATCTATGTTTAATTCTGTAGAAATAAATATGTGCTCTTCTGTAAGCCTTAATTTTATGAACACTTCTGTTCTGATGTTTTGTAAAAATTCTTCAATGTGTTCTCTTAGGAAAGGATCGATCATGATGTTGCTGTGATTTGTTTTCAGAATCTTTTTAAATTCAGTGATATTCTGATAGGCACTTAATAAATTTGTTATAGAATTTCTGGATCATTTTTAATGACTTGGCCTCTTGTGAGTCAAATGGATTTATTTATTCCTGATTTCACAAGCATATTTGCTAAGACCAAGTATTTTAAACAAATTGTCTTGAACTTCCTGATCATTATAATCCTTGAATGCTTAAAAAACCATGTGTACCTTTTCAAATTCACCTTCTCTCAAGTCCATCTTACCACCACATTCTCTATTGACTCCCATGATCAGTGGATTAGGGATGGTGGACATGATGTGAAGTAACTGTTCATAGAGTTCTTTCAGGTTTTTGTTATTTTTCTGTGCTGTGTACATTTGAATTTCCAAGGCATATATTTCTAATAACTACCTTTTTCTTCTCAGTCATCAGTATGGCAGGACTGATGTATGTAACTGACATAAAATTGATTTATGCTTTCCATACGCCTCTCATTCTGAATAAAATTTTCCAAGTTTTCTGTTTGTCTTAAACCATAGCCTGTCATTCTTAGCATTTTCCAAAGCTTCCAGTGTTTCATAGAATTTCTGCAGTAAATCTATCTGGCATTAAAAAAAATCAGAATTCTGTTTCAAAGTGGAGTTTTACAATAATGAAAAGATGGAAATAAAGTGTTTGTAGATGGGGAGGGGAGGAGGGGGTGAAGGGAGAAAATGAGAACCAAGACCTGTCATGTAGTGGTACAAGATCCCAACGATGAATGTTACTGTACTGTATCCCTAAAACGTACCAATAAACTCAAAGCTGAAAAAAAAGAATAGAATTAATGAATTTTTCAGAATACTTTCTTGTGATTGCAGTCCAAATGTAGGTCAAATGTTGTTTATATGTATTCATCATTTCTGGAAAGTTTATAAATCTTTTTTTTTTTGACACAGGGTCTTACTATGCTGTCCAGGTTGGCTTTGAACTATGTAGCCCAGGATGGCCTTGAACTCACAGCGGTCCTCCTTCCTCAGCTTCTTGAGTGCTGGGATTACAGGCATGAGCCACCATGCCCGGCATCTTGAAATTAATCTTAATCATTTGTTTTGGTGCTTTAAATCCCCACTCTTCTTTTTTACCTTCAAGTTTCACAAACTTTTGGAAACTGCGTAGAGCTGCTTTTGTGTCATCATCTTTTAACACTTTGGAACTATAATACTTATTTTCCAAATGCACATTTGGCTCAGAGTTACTGTCTTCAGAGTACTCCAGGTTGTAGTTCTTTTCTTTATCTCCTACATTATGTGTATATATATATATATATATATATATATACATACATACATACACACACATACATACACACACACACACACACACACACACATACACATATATATATTTTTACATTTGGTACCAGGGATTGAACTCAGGACCTTGCACTTGTGAGGCAGGCAGCGGAACCACTGAGCTAAATCCCTGGCCCTTCTACTTTTTATTTTTGAGACAGGGTCTTGCTAAGTATTCCAGCTAGCCTTGGACTCATGATTCTCTTGTTTCAACCTCCCAGAGTGGTGGCATTACAGGCATGCACCACCATACCTGACTATAATCATTGCTTTTTTGAGTTGACATGTGTATTGTTAAAGTGATATTCCTTTGTAGACGGTGTAGCTAGATTGACTGTAGGCTGAGTCAACAGATTATTTTAGTGTTTTGTAGACTGCTTTTGAGCTATTCTACTTGGCAATATAAAAATCTTTCAGCTGCTCAACTATGAAATTTTTGAGATCAGGAATCATGTTTAATTTATGTTTGTGTCCTGAGAATCTGTCATGGTGTCTTGAATGCCATAGTTTTATTGAAGTTGGTATTGCTGAATCTACTTTCAGAGAAACAAATTATCCTGCATAGCCTTGCTGATTTTTTATTGAACAAGCAGATATCTAACTACAGATTTCCTTCTCCCTGTTTGCCTTATGTATATGTTCTCTAGGACTTATTTTTTTTTTTTGTACCAGGGATTGAACTCGGGTCCTTGCTCTTGCAAGGCAGGCCACTGAACCACTGAGCTAAATCCCCGGCCATCTCTAGGACTTCTTTATCTAAAGTTAGCTCTTGAGTATTTGCTCCAGAGGAGAGATAGATAATCCAAAATGAAATAATCATATTTGGTTTGGAGTACATATCTTTGAATGTTAGTATGTCTATTATTTGAATTAACTAAAATAACAAAGCAATGTTGTAAGCACGTAGAGCAAGTACCTTACTTTGCTCTTAACTGAAATATAATACCTGACATCCACAACTTAAAGGAGTTTATTTTAGCTCAAAGTTTGTTGAAATTTCAGTCCATAATCAACTGTTTCCAAGGCAGGGCAGCATCCAGAGGAACATGGCAGAGGAGAAACAGTTCATGGCATGACAGGCAGGAAGCAGAACAGCATCAAGGGAGAAGGAAGAATGTATATATACACCTTTTCAGACCAAACCCACAGTGACTCACCTCTTCGCACCAGGTTTCATCTTCCAAAATCATTCCCAGCCATAAACCAATGATTGGTCTAATACAATATCACACACCCATGATCCAGTCACCACCCAAAGGTCCCACCATGAGGCCTTGGGGGGATATCTAGAAAGCATAGCAGCAAGAGATACCATCCACTGCTCTTCTTTGCTGTCCATTTATTCAGTGTTGGGACTAGACATGCAGAATGCAAATGTAAGCAGTGCATCCTCTCATCTCGTCCCTTATTAGTAATATACATATGAGAATAATAGCATTTAGAATTCAACTTTTATTGTGCTTTTCATACATTCTATTTAATCGATGCAGTGATACAATGAAATAGGGCACATGTTGTCCCCTATTATAGATAAGACTAAATGGGATAAATTTTTTATTCAAGGTCACTTGCCTTCGAGGAAGTAGCACTGAAATTTAGCCTCCAGTCTTTTGACTCCTAGTCGTATGACATCAATCCATGTGTATTTCATAGGACTCACTTCATACTCTGAAGTGCACAAGGGAGTATAGTTCTACATGATTGAAGAAAATGTTAATACGTGACTCGTTTCCATCATTAACCAGTGAGCATAGTTGAACATTTTTGTTGCCGAAATAGTATTTGATGATAAATTTCATATTATCTCCCATTAAGGAAATTCTGAGCATCATTAAAATCTGTGCTATGTGGTTAATTAGTATAACCTCCACCATAACCTTTGGAAACACAAATCCTGCCTCATAAGCCCATGGAAGGAAACAAAAGGCTACAGTTTTGTTATTGCAGACCTTTCCAGAGTTATTTTGAAATTTGAGATTTGAAAAAATTTCTCCATGCTGGCCATCAAACCTGGGGCCTTGTACGTGTTAGATAAGTGCTCTTCCACTGAAGCTATATCCTCAGCCCTTAAATTTTGATCTTTATATTTATGAAAGCTTTTTATTTATATAAGAGTATTAAAATAGCCGTGGAATTATGATTTTTTGATATTCATACAATTTGTACTGTCTTCTAATTATCTGTTAATATCTGTTAACTATACTATCAATAAAAAGCTATAACAATAAGTAAATTATCAAGATAAATTTCATTTAATTGGTTGTGTAGAATGAAAGACTTCACTAACTGCGTTTTATACTTGCTCTTTTCAAAACAATACTTAAATTTTTGTATTGTAATGACTTTCTATAACAGCTTGAAAATATAATTTATATACCATCCATTTGAAGTGTGTAGTTCAATAGTTATATTTTAGCATATTCACAAAGTTGTACAAACATCATCATAATCAATTTTAGAACATTTTTATCTCCAGGAGAAACTTCATACTCATTAGCAGTCACCTATATTTTCCCTACACCACTATTCCATGAAAACTTTAATCTACCTTTGGTCCCTATGGATTTCCTATTCTGGAAATTTTGTATAAATGAATTTATATAATATATGATCTTTGGGGTAATTGGTTTCACTCAGCATTTTTCCTAGATTTCACCACATTGTAGCATGTTTCCATGTCTTTTTAATGGCTGAATAATCCATTGTATGGTATTTCACATTTTATCCATTCATCAGCTAGTGGACATTTGAATGTTTTCCTCTTTTTGGCTATCATGAATAATAACTTCCATTAAAAACTCATGTACAGGCCAGGGATTAAGCTCAGTGTTTCTGCTGTCTGCCTCACAAGTGCAAGATCCCTGGTACCAAAAAAAAAAAAAAAAAAAAAAAAAAAAACAAACAACTCATGTACAAGGGGCCGGGGATGTAGCTTAGTGGTGCCGAGCCTACCTGACAAGTGCAAGGTCCTGAGTTCGATTCCCAATACCAAAAAAAAAATGTACAAGTTTTGGTGTGCACATATGTTTTCATTTTTCTTGGGAACATACACCTAGGCGTAGAATCGCTGGATCATCTGGTAACGGTTATGTTTGCTATATATATCATAATTGAAGAAATACCTGTCCTTTTTTTTGTTTGCTTTAGCTTAAGCTTTGGGTAACATATTTAAGAAACTATTGCCTAACCTATATTCATGAGGATCACTTTTTTATTCTAAAGAATTTTACAGTTTTAATTTCTAAATTTGGTCTTTGATACATTTTGAATTAATTTTTATATCTAAATATGAAATGGGGGTTTTAATTAATTCTTTTGGGTCTGGATATCAGTTTTTCTAGCACTATTTGTTGGTAAGAATATTCCACCCCCCCTCTGCAAAGATTTGTTTCGGTACCCTTGTCAAAAACCAGTTAATCATAAATGTGAGTGCTTACAGGTGATATTTTTGATGTGACTGTGATAATCTTTTTAATGTATGTATTGCTTTTTTTATAGGTTACTATTCGAGCCTCATTTGGACCACCTCAGTCAAAACCACCAAGTACACCTTCCAGTTGTGCTCCAAGCTCCTCTTCTCTTCAAGTCTTATCTCCAGAATCTAAAAATACAACTGCCAGAAATGTCACAAAATCTTATGCAAGCAGATCTAAGACAACTAAGCCTCAGGCAACTGTGTCCACTGCAAATAAACCCAGTACAAGTAAACCAAGTGGAGGTACAGCTAAATGCAAAGGAAAACTGTCTTGCAAACCAAAGAGACAGCGCAACAGAAAAAGTAAACTCAACACAGCTTTGAAGAATTTAAGGTGCACTCTTATTCCTGATATACAATACTAATTTAATCTTTAAGATTTTATTTTCATATAATATACCATACCATAAAACCCTCTGGTGCATTTACATGGTAATCACCTGGCATAAAAGCCAAGCAAATGATGAAAAGGTACCTTTTGTATCTACGTAGCAGAACATGAGTCTTGTACACTGAATTTTGTGTTTTGTGCTTTTATCTGGTTATTATTGAAATGGCTAATTTGATCCTTTTTATTAATAACTTCTTCCCTTAATATTTTTGTTCTAACAGTATATTCTATCCCCTTTTTTTGGTCTCCATAAGGTGTCATCGGGGAATTTACAAATGTATTGAGTGTCGTTCCAAAATTAAAGATTTTGCAAACCACTTTTCTATATTTATCAACTGTAATTTTTGCAAATACAACACTAACTGTAACAAAGCCTTTGTAAATCATATGATGAGGTAAGTTAAGCATGTGAAATGCCAATCAAAATTGCTAGCAGCTCATTGGTAGAGTACTTGCTTAGCATGCGCAAGATCTTAGGTTTACTCTCCAGGACTCTCCAACACGTCATTCAGGAAGTTAAATTTTTGAAAATGGATTTATCTTATTAGAAGTAAGTTAATCTCATCAAGGAGCTAAAAAGATCTAACAAAATGGAACTTCTAGGATATTCTTGTCTGCTTTTCAAACTATTGGGACAAAAATTAGAATTATTTAATTAAATTAAAATGGATTTATTAGGGAAATACATTTTCCTATGGGAATTGTTTTTTTCTTTAAAGTTTTCAAATACAAAATTTTTAATGA